GTAAATCTGTAGTGCGTTCTCCACAAAGAAAAAAATCCTTTTTAGAACCTTGTATACCAGTCAACAAAATAAAAAATGAAAATGCATTTGTTTTCACCTTATTGTACACATGTATTATATTTTTCTTTTACAATATTGTCCATTGTGTGCAACACACTTTGTAAATACTGTGTTTGTTCTTAAAAATTGCTCCTGTCCTCCAATTTCAGTACAGTTCTGATGGCTGCATACACGGCTACTGTCCAAGGCCTGGGTTGTAAATATTTACTGAGAAGAATCGAGGTTTTATGTTTGGAGAATGTGCAGAATAAGATTAACTTTTCAATTAACAATTGAACAATTAACAACTTTCAAATTAATCTATTATAATAATGCTTTGAAAAAACCCAGGCAAGAAATGCAATGATGGAAAACTATACTGGACCAAATTAATCCCTCGTGTGACTCTATTTCAGTCAACATAGTAACACCAGGATAAAATGATAATTAATTGTTATTAACACGAGCATGAAGCAACTGACGTGAACGGTACAAGAGTACAAGCAAAATGTACAGAACTGTCAATCCTGCTCATCCCAGGCACCTACACAAGGGTCGCTTTTCATGTTCAGTCTTGCTGTAGTATTAAATGAACCTTGTTGGTTATTTACTAATGATATCAACAGCCTTCAGGGTGACCATCATGCAAAGCCAAGCAGAGTTCCTCTCAGGCCCAGTGCAATTATTCTGCGCCATCCTGGAGATTAGAGAGATCGGGAGCCCTCTGCTCAGCAGAGCAGCCTCCAATAGAGGTGCAGGCTCTTACCAAAATCCTCTGTACTCACTAACAGGACAGGAAAACAGGAGAACACGCTCCTCAGTCTCATAAAGACCACAGTTACTGAGGAAGGTGAAATAAATTCCAGGTTCATGCCTCACCAGAAGCCAGCACACTAAGAAGTGCATTACAAACCCAAACCATGCAAAAAGACAACTCCCAGCTCCCCACACACCACACAACGCTGAGGGCTACGAAAGCTTTCACATACACCCTTTCACTTCCACCCTGAACGAAGGAACTGCTAGCACATTGCCACAGGTGGCTGCTTTGTTGTTGAGGAATCGCATATACCACACAATTATTTTTTACTTACAGGATAAACATTGACCACTTAATTACAAAAGGCTTGCTTCAGCAAAACTCACCTCTGTGGTTGCCAGCTCACTGCAGCTCCTCCAGCCACCCAGCACCCAGGTGGTGGCAATAATTGCTGGTCCCAGGGGAGGGAGCAGCCTGCCCTGCCCAGCCTTATGTGCTGCCTCCCTGGAGGAGGCACCCACCTACCCGCACTCGGGGCCCCCACTGCGCACTGAGGACAGGTCACCGTCAGTGACGCTCGTTGATCACTGCGGTGATCTCCAAAGAGCTGGATCCAAGAGGACCCCTTCGCTGCTTACATGTTGGTTAAAGTAAACTTTCCCTGCACGTTGCTCTTCTAGACTCTTGGGAGGAACAGAAGTTTTATTCAGTGCCTTCCAGGACAGCTGCAAGAAGTTTGCACCACATCAGGAAAAAAATAATGGAAAAACCACAAAGTGCATAAAACTTTCTCAGGGAGGAGGGAAGACTTGCATCCCCCAAGCAAGACAATGCAGCGCTGTTTGTTTTTACAGTATCCCTAAAATAGGAAGAATTAGCCCTTTGCAACACAAAAATGCTAGAGTAATTATTCCAAACCTTCTGAAGTGCAGAACACCAGTGGAGATGCTACTTCCTCAGGTCTGGGGCTGGTCCTCGTGCTGGGACAGGGTTAGACTGCAGATAGGATTCAGACAGAGGAGGGAGAAGAGAGCCATGGGCTGCTGCAAACAAATGCCCTCACTGCCACATGTCACACGAAAGGTTGGAGCTGAACTGAAGGCATGGCTACCTCCTCCCCAGGTTCAACCCCGAGTTCACTGCACCCTTCGTTGGTGCAGACCTCTTAGGGGGGCAAGCATTCTCCTGAGTGGAGAAGCTGATTTCTTGCTTACAGCTGATGAGTTTTCACTAACGGTTACATAACTCTGAGCACTTTGGGATCTAATTTTGGTAAACGTGTACAATTTAGATGTTTATTCAAAACATTCAAATTGCATCAGTCTCCAAGATGGTTATGTCAGCTACAAAAAGTGGACATATTGTTGATGGCTGAGGAGCACTCAGGGTGTATAGCATTCAGTGAATTAAATTTTAAAAGTACTTTCAAATGATTCAGAGTGATCCAGTTTGGATCTCAGATAGCATACGGCATGATCGGATCACTCTTGTCCTCTATGTCTTCTTCCATTTCACTTGCTTGGTCTAGTTTTAAATTAGACGGTAAGCTCTTGAGGGCTAGCACCACATTCTGTATAATTCTGTACAACTCCGTGCATCTCTGATGCAAATTAGAACAACTGAGTGCTATTGCAATTGAAACAACTAGTGGGGAGAATTGATGTTGTGTTTTTTAAAGGCTAAAATAGGAATATTGAAAGACTTTTTATGAGATTCCTTGCACTTATATTTTCATACCGTAATCAATAAAAATAATTTAAAACTATTAAATGCAAGTTCTTCTGTGAAAAGTGACTATAAAAGTAGCACTACAGCATTCTATGTTGCAGGACTGCCAACCAAATCTGCTCAGTTCACATGTGGATGGGTTTTTATTTCTAAACCTCACTTTTGCAAAACAAAAGCTCAGATCTGCAAGCACTGTTGATGCTGGCTTGTGCCCCACGTGTCACGAGCAATAATGGTCATCAGCGACATGTGGGGCCTCAGCTCTCCCTCAGCCCATTCTCCACCTTGAGCAGCTCCTTCAGGCACAACAAATTCTCTTATTGGAAGCATCTGGAACCCAAAAAGTTGTTAAGTTCCAAAAATAATAACGGACCGCACAAAGTTGTACACAAAATGCAACACATAGCTAGTCCTTGAGGAGTTTCAATTTCAATGATGAAATGAAGATCCGCCAGAAAGCCCGGAGGAAGGATTAACTTTCAAATTTGTTTCTTTTTTTATTTTTTCAGATACTGAAGAAGGGAATCTTTAGCAAGACACACCAAATAGCAAACAATTGAAAGAAAATCTTTGAAAGGGTAATGTCGTCTGTAAAGCTGATGCTGTGATGAGTGGTACCTGCCAAAATCTAATCTGGGCATCCAGTTTAGGGAAGACTTATGCATCTCATAAAGTTGTCATAAAGCCAGTTTTACAGATGGAAGTACAAACAGCGTATGCTTAGTAAAATCTATGCAGATCTGGAGGTTCCTACCTGGTTTTGGAACACAACTATGTACATGAACCATTTTACTGAGATTTCAACTCAGATAATAATGTCTAATTTCCATGCCCATTTTAACACTATTTATTATTAGCAATTCTTAGGAAAAGGTTTCTACTATTGCAGTAGTTACAGTTGCAGATATTGGGAGAGGTTCTCCAATCCGCTAAGGCAATTTGATGCTCACAATTAGCACCAAAGTCGCATGCCAGGCAGCTTCGGAGAAGATGGTGACCGGAGCAATATGACGAAACATGGGGACAATCCTAAACAGTGGGTCGAATGTTCCTGATTCCTTCTGATTCATTAGCCACCAGGCCTGTTAAGTGTGAGGCAGCCACAATCAGCCTCCACCCTGGCAATGCAGCTCAGGCATATTGGACAAGCAAATGTCAAAGCGAACGTACATGATTAGGTTATCCCTGCATTTTCATCATACATCTCACCTATCCCTGTAGCCATAACATGGAGTAGCTAAAATTTACATAGAGAACATACGCGTTGGCAACAATAAAAGGAAAATCCCTCTTTCTTTTTCTTATGCTTATACAAGTCACAAGTGACTATCCAACTATATTTCAGCAACTAAATGAAAAATAAGGTTTAAACTGAATTCTGATAGCAGTAGGATTACAGCTGAAACACCGAGAGAACTGTGTAAACATTCCTGGTAGTATCTGTAAATCCAAGTGCTCTATAAGTCAATCTTAACTCAAATGTACTCAGTTCAGTTTCAGTTAAGATGAACTCAAACTTGAATTCTTGTCAGACTTACAAATGTGCGTGTACTGAATTTACGTATATGTAACCGAAGCCAAATGCCGGTCCCCCACCTCTCAGAACTTCTGATATATCCACAAACAGAGCTGGTCAGATATATTCAAAAAGCGTCTTCAACAGAAAATGGCTTTCCTGTAAAAGAGAAATTCTCTCTCCCTTGCCTAAACAGCCTTCGCTGTGGAAAAAAAAAAAACAAGTGCTTCTTTAGATTTTAAAATTTCTTGGAAAAACACATACTTTCCTTGATTCACAGGGTTTTGTTTTTCCCAGAAAAATATATAATCAAAAGATCTAAAATAAATATATATTATTATTTGAAAAATAATATATTTACTTAATGCTACATTTGACTACTTAAACAGCAGACCAGCTTAAGTTCTTGCTGAGTCATTCTACCTTAGTGATACACAGCTGTAAATGAGAGGACATATTCATTTGAGGGAGAAGGTTACTACAGGACCCACCTCTCTATTTCAATCCTCTCCCCCTGCCTTGTGAGCAACCCCATGACGGCCAGCACTGCGCTTCCGCATGCCTCCAAAATCAACCGATCTTTTACAGCTCAGTTCTTGAACTCAGCTGTGTGGCTCAGCAATAGTGCAATGAACATAAAGTAGCTTTAGTACCATCATTAGACCTTCAAAATTACAAACAGTGGCTTACTCACAAGAAGAGAAGAGTAATCTGTATGCTTTATTTATTCTTTTCAGAGCTGTCAGAAGACCATTCCTTTATAGTGGGCAAAAGTGTTCAAATCTTTGCATGGAAAGCTAATCTTCAAAATGAAAGAAAATGTAGGATTAGTTAGTACAAAATTCTGCTAATAGATTAAAAGACTCTCTCGTAACCTTTTAAAGTTATTTATCAGTAATTTATTAACACAGTTAGAGCAAAAATGACTGTTGTTTTCAGAATTCATTTTTCAGGCTGCAGACTTATACCAGATGACACTCGGGCTCCGGCTCTTTGGGAATACACATCAAACTCTGGTTCATAATTTATGTAATGACATATACTTGGACACTGATTAGCTACCTTATCAGCCCTGTAATAAAGGAAGCATAACCCCTAGTTTATCATTCATTTATCTGAAGTCATTTTGAATAATATCACAAGATTGTAATGTAATCATTATGCTGTACAGCATGTGTGGGCCAGTACACTACACTGTCAGTGTCAGAGGACTGTCATAGTTCATACTACTTAATTTGCTCACTTCTTACACATTTATGAAATTGGAGTCAACAGTCTAGTGTAGCAGTAATATCCTGGGTAAGAGACTTGCACAAATTGTTAATAGGGTGTTCAACGTGAGTGTGAAGAAGTGCAAGACAAGACAAAAACTGGTTTTGTGATAGATTTCAGAGAAAATGCAGCCTGGTAGTCGATGAGTGAATTGAATTTCCTTTGACGTTTGCCATCAAAAGTACCTGTAGACTTTGTTGACGCTCTCTCTGGATGTGAGAATGACGTTTTCTTTCAGATAGCTTAAAAGCCTTCTGTAAGGCAATGAGATTTCTTCATTGTCTGTAAAGCAGTGAGATTTCCTGGATAAGTTTCAGAGCTTACAGTAACGTCCACAATCAGAATAAACAAGAGCATTTTGTAGGCTGCTGAGTCTGGAAAGCACAGAAAGCAAAGCAACACATGAGGATATCTGGCAAACTATAGTATAGCCTTGTCTTTCCTCTCAGGGTTGCTCATTTTCAGTTTATAACCAAGTTTCACAATAGTTGAGATTTCTCTTTAGAACCTGAGCTTTTGGAAATGATATTAATTGAGGGTTTCAGCTTTCATGTTAGGTAAAGGTTTCTAGCCTTCAGGGACTAAGAGAGAACCTCAGAAATGTGATCTAGTGGTGTCATGAGGAATCCAAAAAAAAAGTACCATAATTATATACATATATTAGCATATGTTTATGCCAGTCTCATGGAATTCAGTGCTCAACTTAACAATTTGTTTTGAACATCTGAGGTGCACAAGAACTGTAAGAGAGGCATAGAAAGAGAAAGTAAATATGCATAGCAAGTCTTATCCAGAACAGGGGGAAGAAGTGAAGAGTCTGGAAAAAAGATATGGTGGCTAGAGGATGGACTGCTGTCATCTAAAGAAAATTACTGGAAACTCCGAATATTTGGAAGTTGCTTAAAAGCAGAGTTGCCAAAAAAAAAAGACTTGAAAAATACTATGTCCCCTCTATTCACAATGACCTTAATTCCACCTGAGTCCGCAGCGCAATGTCTGGAGAAAAGCTATGAGAAAGCAGAATCTGACCTATTAAGACTTAAATATCAGCAAAGATACCTCAGTACCTGCTCAGTACCTGGGACAGTAAGGCTGTAATCTAAGTTTATGACCTTTCAAGCCTTAATTTTACAAATCTAATTTTCTCCCTGCTTTTTATGTTCTCCGGCAGGGTATGAAGTGACAATATAAGGAAAGAGGAGAACAAACGCTAGGTTAGCATACAAGAATGAGAAAATCGGCTGAAGAGCATTTCCGGGATTTCCACTCAGGCTCGTTTTTAAACACTGGAGAGTTGTGGGAGTAAGGCGGACCGCAGCCCAGACCACAGAGGCTGCACCATTCTGGCAGGGGGCGAAATGAAGACAGGCCCTGTGCCCTTGGAATGGCAGACACCATCGTAGACCCACAGCTCAGATAGGTTAGGCGGATGGAGGGATAGAAAAGCCTGCGACAAGTGTCACTAAGGTAACGATTGCTGAAAAAAAAAAGCCAGTAGAGTGTCATGAAAAAAATATGAGTTTAATGAACAGTGCAACTTAGATAAGTAAAGAAAAAAGGGAAAGAATGGAACGGGTAGCCCAGAAGCACCACCTCTTGGGGCGTTCAACAGTAGACCAAAGGAGGCATTGGAAAATGCTGTGGGTAAGCCAGCGGGCAAGCCAGCCCTAGCAGTTACAGACCCGATGACATGAAATGTCTTTTCTGTCTGTGATTACCAACACAGATTTGCATGCTACGTTTTAGAGTGCTACTGTTCATCCATCAAATATAAATAATTGCTTCATGAAGAAGGATTAAATGTTTACTGTAAAAACAATTAAATTAGTTTCTAGTATTTTTTAATGCAAGACAGTAAAAGCAAATGACTTAATCATCAATCTTGCGTCCAACTGTTATTCATGAGAGATGTAACCCCATTTAAAATTTTATTTCTATCAGAATAAAAACATATTGCACAATGCCACATTTCTCCACAACTTTCTTGGCGACTCAAAACTCTCCAATTAATTTTGGCACTTGAGTTAAAAGTGGATGCAAAAAGGAATGATATTCAGCACATCGAGAAGCATGTGCTGCTTTGTGGGAATACTGAACGCTGGATGGGGCAGCAGAGGAGGGATGGGATGGCCAGGCCCTTGCCACAGCCTGCCATGTCCAGCTACTGCCCTTAGCACACAGGGAACACTGGCTTGGTTAATACCAGACACGTGGTGGAGATCAAGTCAGAGTAAATGACAGTGATTGCATTGAGCCTGGGCTGAAGCAGATGATGCAAAAAAGAAAAGCAGCATGCGATGCCTTGAACAGCTGGAATATTTGAGCTATGTAACTGCATGCAAAAGTAGAAATAAACCTGAAATAGTGATCTTCATCTTCATCTTCTGAGACCCGTGGTACATAAAACAAGTCAAGGCACATCTGGAAGATCGAAAATTTAAATATGAATAAAATTTATGAATTTCTGCCTGGTAAAAAAGAGAAGTCTTAATATTGCAAGAAGCAATTCACACTTAAAATGGATTTTATTCGATTCTGAAAATAACTAATGTGTCAAATAAACATGAGCAAAAGTCAAAGGCAGGAATATGAGCAAAGCTGTCAGGAACTTGTTCAAAATATTACAAAAAATAGATTACTACAACTTTCAAATGAAATACACCTAAACTATAATGCAATCAGGAGTTCTTTCTCCGAGTTCTTTCTTTCTGCAAAGTTCAAAGTACAGAAAGGTAGTCAAAACTAGGATTAAAAAAATCCTTTCTTATTTGTGCAATGGCTTATATAGAGGCAATGTTGTTCCTCCTAAGATAAAAAAGTCATTGAAAATTCTTGCTGTAGAAATTAATTAACAACACCTGGTACCACTCCTGTGGTTCTGATGTCACAAGTGCTTTACTTAAAATATTATATGAAGTGGACTTTTTCACAACCTGTGACCAGCTCAAGTGCTTAGCTGGAGAAGAGTTTAGCCTTCCTTCAAAGGACATCTGTTCCCTCAAGATAAGGCAAAAAAACATTTTCTGGATAGTCAAAAAGCCCAAAGACCCATTCAAACAATTTAAATAAATTAGAAAATCTTTGGAATATTTCTATAGCAGATATTTTCATTATACCATCCTTGAAGCACTTAAATAACAGTCTCTTTTTTGTGGATACTTGCTAGAAGGAATTTTTAAGTATTTATCCATGACCATATTTGCTTTATTGTAGAATAAATAACCGCTACAGATTATACCTCCCTTCAGATTCTACCTATACCACCTTAACTTATAAAATATAGGTAAAATAAATGCTTTTTTTGAATAATCCAATGTAACTTTAAATAATAATCTATGCAGCACCTCCCATCTGCATATCTTACAGTGTGACAGATATCAAATTATGTTATTATTACCTAGCTTCAAATGGAGAGCTCTGTTAGGAAATTACTGTAGGCCTGCATGCACCTAAATAGCCTTTAGCTTGTGCCCAGCAGGGTGGAGGACAGCGTTCACCCGCATTTTTCCCTGCCTTTTTTTCTGAATAGCTAGCATTTCCTTTGCAAAAAGAAAGGCTCCTCCTAATCCTTTCTTGAACATAGATACTCACTGGGTTCTGATTACTTTTCGCCTCCCTTGAGTATTCTGTCGTCTCTCAAATTTAATACTGAATTTTTATTTATAATTTTCACTGGGGTTGAGCACCTGTGTTTTCAAATGGAATATAAAACAGATGTGAAATAATTACGATACAGCATTCTTTCAAAGGACTGAAGGCACATTCCTGGCACCTATTATTCTAATTTTGCTCCCTTCTGAGGTCATCTTTTAATACTTTTTTAAAGTATTCTGTTCTTTCTGAAACTGTGACAAACAGGAAAAAAAATGTGCTTGAAGTTTCTCCAGGAGCTGTTCATGTACATATGGCACTCAGAGGAAAAAGAGGTAGATATCTGCTTTACTAATGTAGCAGCATGCAGTATAAAAGGTAAGCATGCAGCGTTAAGAGCATGACAGAAGCATTCAGGGAACTGGTAAAGCTTGTGTGTATGTTTTCTCCAAGCTCAGCGAGACACCTAGAAAGCTCACAGTCCAGAAAGGCCTGCCAAATTGCGCTCGCGGCACGGAGAACCCTTTAAGCCTACGCATGGCTGGGGAAAAATACTTGCTTTGTTTTCAAAAGTAGAAAGGTGTAAATTACAAGTGCTAAAAACATCGACTTTGCCTGCAATTAATCTTTATAGGGGCGCTGTCAAGTCCTCAGGATTTTAATTACGACAAAGTAAAATCTTAAGTATTCCAACTGTACTGTTTTGCTAAAAGTTACTCTTCAGCTCCTAAGAATTACAAAATGTACCAAATGTATCAAAACTTTCCTTTAACTCTCAAATACAAACAAAATTATACTTCTGCACATTTTTTTGTCTGTAAATCTAATTTGATATAAAGGCAAGTATCAAGTATGTATCACCTTTCTTTCATTGAGTTACCGAATTGTTCATGAAGGAGCCTGTGGAAATAAAAAATTAGTCATCCTGTGCATTCGGCCTAGATTCACCCAGTCAGCATTCAGATTTTGGGCTTGCTAGAAGAGCAGTTTGGCCATTGATTATATTAATTCTATAGCTAATTAAACTAGTTAACCATTGCCACAGTGGTAGGACTTGTGAACATGAGCAGAAGCCTAACTTTTGGCACTGAAAGATCTTTTTGGGGGGATAAAAAACCACTACAAGTATCATTGAAGAAGACCAGAGGCACATAAACCTAAATCCTATTTAGAGGCATAAAACGGGTTTGAGCCTGCATCACCAGCTTGATTTTGCCACCACATACTTCCCAAGAACACCCACAAATCGAGGAAGTCTCAGCAGCTGACTCAGCCAGGTTAGAAATCCCTTCATCCCGATGGAGAGTTACAGTGAGGATGGGACGGACTAAGAACTGGGTTCTTCTCAAGCAGCATGATTCCTTTTAGCTAGAAGAGAGCAACATACTCAGTTGCCACACAACAAGCAGTTATGTTAGTGGCATTGCTTCTCTTAGGTCCTATTTTCAGCCCAGCTGTGGAGGGCAAGACAATTTGAGAAAGTACAAAATCTTCCACCCAGCAGACTGCTCACCAGTAGCCAATGCACTACATTGGGACTGCTGCAGCACTTTCCCTTTGCTCCACAGACTGGCTTTTATGTGAAGTTCTCGAGGGTAGAGCTTTGATGTTGTCTCAGAAGAGTGTTCCAAGAGCAGACTTGACACAAAGCCAAAGCTGGTCCTTGAAGCATAAAAATATACTTAGCCCTAACTTTCAAAGTATTGTATGGGACAGAAGTAGTCACTCCACTCCCACTAACGTTAGATAAGATCTACTTCCATTCAAACATAATATCCACGTAAATAATTGCAAACTTAATACGGTTCTGATACTAAGAAATGCGGGGGTGCGAGGTATGGCCACCACTAATGAGAGAGGTTGGTTATGACTCACAAACGATAGCACTGGGCCCTTTTCTACCCCATCCCTGTGCAAGAGCTCTTCCTTCCTCAGAAACAATAGGCAACAATCCTGAACCGGGTTATGAGAACAACAAATTGCTGTAGGAATAAAATGTGACAACATGGATTTCTAAGTTGCTAAAAAACATAAGCTTCATCTCTGCTCTCCTAGTAGCTTTATTTTTCAGTAGCTGTTCAACTGGTAAAATAAAAATGGCATTACTCTGTTGGCTTTAATTTACAATTGTTCATTTACCTTAAGTGACATTTCAGCCATAACACTTTCTTACTGTAAGCCTGATTGTGTTCTTACTTACAGAGGTGAAAGTTAGGAATAGCTTTTGGAAGTGAACATGGTAGCACTACAGTAAAACTAATAATTAAGGTTAGAACTAGAACCAGTGCTTACCATTTACCGTGAGTTATTTTAACACACTTGGTCAATATTTATCCTTCTCATTATACTCTATACAGTGCCTGAAGCTGTGCTCCGTGTGCATTCATTGCACATGAATGTGCTTGGAAAGTCAGCCTTATGGCTTTTAATCTAGACTCTTAGGATTTTAGAAACTAAATCTTCTAAGATCCCATCTTTTCCAATGCATTCTCCTCAGTGGCTGGCAAATCATATTCTCTGCTTTCTATACATGGGGAATGGAAGTGTCCCACTGCTGCACCATTATTTACTGGAAAGAGCTGCCCAGGAGTTTCCCTGATACCCTCCTCCACTCATGCTGGGAACCAGGAAAGAGCCCAACTACAATGACAGCGTTTTAGCTAAGAGTGTAATTCACTGGCAATGCTGTTTTAAAAGTGAACTCTCTTTTCTGCCTCCAAAAACAAAAGAGAGGATCGTAGTCATTCTAAAGCCTGAATTACAGATGATATTACTGTATCTGCAGTAACGCAATGCGAAAAATGCTTACATTGTGCGCTACATCTATCACATAATTAATCCCAATATCACTACATGAAATCTCATGTGTGATAATATTTTCCAGAAATGTTCTGTTACAAAAAGGTCAAATATCATATAATTTTTCTGCTGGATCCTCCTTCAAGCCATGTTTACCCTAAGATATTAGCTTCCAGAAGGTAAAAGGAAGGAATAATAGCATTTGATAGTCCACTGAATATGCCTGTTGATTAAACGATATGCACACACCTGCTTAGCAGCTGCAGCTGCTAATTTCAGTGATGCCACACGTAAAGTAGGTATTGCAGCATAACTAGAAAGCCAGGTGTGCTTCCGCAGCTGAGGTGGCCGTGTCAGCTAGTCTACCCCAGAGGAGTCGAGTATCGCTTCAGCCTGAAATCCCACCTTCCAGCCAAAGTCAGCCCATCTGCTAGGACCTCTGCTTTTCCAGGGAGCTTCATGGCCATTCAGGGATATGCTTGCTCTGCTGGGCAAGCGGACTTACTGAAAGGCATGAGAAGGGTGCTGTAAACATGCAAGAAGGGGTTTAACATTGGCACGTTATGGTCACAATAGTCTTTTGTCTCCATAATGGTATATATATGAGATCTGCTTTGCAGCAGACCTTACCCTAAGAGAGGAACTATGTCAATGTATGTTTTGTTCATTGCTTCTTTTCTGGCCACTGTCTGTCTCTAATGTGTCTCTAACTTTGCCATCATTTTATTTTAGGATCTGCATTTCCATGAAGAGGCTCAGCATTAGAATACCAGAGGAGGAAATACATGCTTCAGAGATGTCATTCCCTGTTTCTTATCTTTAATTTAAGTAGTGAAAACTAATTCATACTGCTTAACACTTGGGGTTTTTCCTGTTCAAAAAAAAAAAGCTATTTCCCAAAGGTCTTCTCTAAGTAAAAGCCAAAGTCAACAACAGATGACAACGAACCTTGTCTCAATGACTGAATTTTCCACCTATCACCAACCTTTCTCCCAATGTAAGATGTACAGAGCAGTTCCTTTAGCTGGGAA